AAAAAACCATAGCATTGAAACCAATCATAATAGTGAAGCCGATGGCAACATTAGTTTTGAAGAAATTCACACCTTGGCTTTTAATTTGTATATACATATAACTTACACTTGCCTTAAACCTAAAGCCAAGACTTGCACATCGTAAATTGCAACTTTAGATTGAACTGCAATTTAACTTGATGGTTTTACCGTTAAAGTCTTGCATGTGTATGTACGTTTGTGGAGGTGTGTGTGTAGATAAATATAGATTTAGAATGAGAATCCGCCTTGTGGTACAGCAGCTTGTGCCGAGAATTCATAAACACCAGTTGTGGAATCTGGAGCGACTGTATCATCTTCATCCTCCTGTAGAAAGAAAGAGAATAAAGGTCAATGACCTGTATTCATGTTTGTCTTCTTTGAGCACCAGTCAATTTTTGTTGCCCTTTACAAGATAAAATACAATTTTTCTTCTTCAAAATTGTCATTTAACAAACATTTTTACGGGAATTGAATGATCATTGATATTTTACAAGATAATGAAAATTTGCACCAAATTTAAGAACATAATCCACTTTGGGGGGGAAAACCACTGCCACTAAAAAGATCAGCCGACCCTCGACAATTTTTTTGAAGGCTTGGTCACAGTTTTTGTTCAGTATGGGCCTTGTATGATAAATATATGATGTGCATGCTTTGTGGTAGGGGAGGAAATTAAAAACTGACCTCTCCGGAGAAGAATTTTTCAATAAGCTTCAATGCTGCCTGGTAAACTTGTTCATTCTCATGTTGCTGTAGGCCTTCCAGTTTGTCCAACCCACCACACTCTTCTATCATCAAACTAACAACATCCACTTGATTAAGTTTCTCTCCAGCCTGCCAATAAAGTACAACATTTATTCAAACAAAATGTAGATTTCTTAGAAAACAGGGAAATGTCCAACTTAGCTGTGACCATGTCATCTTCAGAAATGTGCAGATATACACGTTTGTTTTACTTCTAGGAGCTTCCATTTTGTTTTTCAGGCATTCTTTTTGTTTTTGAAATGTTCATGAAATTTTGGACTACATGTACTTAATTTTTTGGTACTGTTTAGCAAGACGAAATGTAAATCTTTCCATCTTGAAATTCAAACTTACACGCATGTACTTTGCAAGATGCATCAACAACAGCAAAGCGTTTTTTATTCCGATTGTGAAAACTATCTGTACACTAAGCAGCTAGAATTCAGAATTACTGTATACATACCAGAAGAAGATTGCCAATAGCATCTAAGATGACCAAGACAACCTTTGCTTCTTTGACAACCATAAGATCACAGAGTGGTTTCAGTACACCAGCCTGAACTATCATTATAATCTGTTCTACTGTACCACCTGAGGTGTAGTTGGTTATTGCCCACACTGCTTCTTTTTGACTCTTGAAATCACCCTGAAAAAAAAAATGTGTACATATTAGCTTTAGTTCCCATGACATCAAAGTTAATAAGAGAAGTAGCTGCAACTTCAGAGAAGCTGATGCAATCTAGCTTCTCGAAAAATGCATCAGTGAA